TTTATAAATCTAAGAATAAATTGTTTAAGACTATAGTAATGGAAAATATTAAAGTCAAAATATGATTTACACGTATAAAATTGCACGACCTTCCCCTTGTTTGATTAAATTTGTCAAATTCCATAAATGATACTCACCAAAAAGGTTTGCATATGTGTGTGCACAAAATAATTTAATTATATTCATTTTGAACGCACGCTTTAAATTATAGTTTTTATCTTTTGACGTAATATGTAAATAAGAAAAAAAACAATCAAATATCTTGTATATGTACAATATATACTAATTTTTGCCTTCTAAATTGTTGAAAGGACAATTAAAGTATTAATCTTCAAGTCGTTGGCCAATTTGTATATACTTAAAAAAGGCAAGTCAAAGCATGCAATTTTATGATACATTTATTTTTTTAATCTTTGATAATAAGGAAACTATTTTTATCCGTGTATAATTAGATTTCCAAAAGATCTTGTCATTTTTGGATAATATGTATTAATTCGATCATATAAATGATGTTTTCCAAAGTAAAATTTATAAATTCTTATCTAAGATCAATAATGCCTCAAGAATGAGTATGTCACCTCCCCGCATCAAACAAAATTTTAGCAACTTTAAAATCACACATCTGAAGTTATCTCAAAATGGCTAAACTTATAAAAAAATTCACATACGAAAAATATGACTTAAATAGTGGTTCCAAAATCGGCTAGAAGTGCAATTTTAGATAGACCAGTTTTGTACATATTGACTAGACCCATTGATCAATGTCCATAACTGATAATCCAACTCAATTGATAAATTGGATACGCATATTGGGCCTCATTAGCGGGCTCCGTTATTCTATGCTTCTCCACTTAAATATCAAGTTTTTGAGATATATTAGAAATGTTGCGTCTTTTAGTTCAGCCTAACCTTAGTATAATTAATAACCGAGAAATCCCCGAGGATCAGTGCTACGATTCAAATTTCAATGAATAACCCTTTACCTTGACAGAGTTTGAACTCATAATATGCGTATAAGTCAGACCTATATCATTGTTTTGCTTGTTTTCCAATCAGGTCATATTTATCTAGGCCCGTCTGAGGGTCCATACTACGATTCAAATTTCAATGAATAGCCCTTTACCTTACCAGAGTTTGAACTCATGATATGCATATGAGTCAGATCCATATCATTGTTTAACTCATTTTAGATTGACTCATATTTGACTCAACCAGCTCGAGGGTCTGTGCTACGATTCAAATTTCAATGAATAACCTTTTACCTTACTAGAGTTTGAACTCATGATATGTGTATGAGTCAGATCCATATCAATGTTTAACTCCTTTTCGATAGACTTATATTTGACTCGACCCACTCGTTTGCCACTACTTATCTGACCTACACTTATGTGCTCACTAGACTAAAGCCATGAGACAAGGAAGATAAACCAACCATTAGAACAACGCCCCGGACTTATGAAACAATGGAAAGGGCATGCCTCAAGCTAGCTTACCTAGACATCACATATGGTGCTTTAACCATTAGAGCAAAACCCCAGACTACCAATGTAATCCCACAAGTGAAGTCGGGGAGGTTGGTGTGTATGCAACTCATGATAAACGAAATTATAATAATCCAACAATTGAACTTATAAACATAGCAATAAGTACATTTTAATCCATAATTTTCCCTCCATATATTATACTATAAAGATCTTATCAAAACAAGATGTTTCTATTATTACTTCACCTTAAACCCCTCAAAAACCCTTTTAACAATAATCAAACATTACTCTATCCACCATAAACAACAAAAAAATTTGAACAACATAATTCGATCGAAATAAGAACGATTCTGAAATAATCGAAACCTTTAAGCACGAAGCAATGTCGACTAGTTTAAGCCTTCTTCGAGTCCTTATTGACATTGACATCCCCTTCTGTTGATTTCCCATTGCTCCTCCGATCACCGGAGTATTTAGCCTTGGTGTTTTCTGCATCTCTGTTACTCCGGCTATTGAATTCATTCGTCGGAAAGTTGAACTTTTTTGAAGAAATTTCAGATCTTAAATCATTCAAAGCATTTCTCAACAATCCATTTTCAGCTTGTATGGTCTCCAGCTGCTGCTTCACATCCAAACAAGCTTGTGTCAAATCAGCATTTCTGGGCAAATTGTTAGCTTTCTTCAAATCATCTTTCGCTATATATTCGATACCGATCTTATTCATCACCAGCAGTGGACAGTGACGGAACGAAATGCCCGCCGGCGATGGGAAGTTGGTGTTCCCTAGGATAACAGTATCCGGATCGTCCACTGCAGGAACTTTAGGAAACCTGAGACCCCATCGGAAATTCACCACAGCACGGTTTCTCACAGGTAACGAAGTACGGGCACTGACAACCGCGCCGGAGAACAAGTTTTCCACAGCTCCGGCGACGGCCGATTCCTCCGGGAAAACCCCCACTTTGCTGCCGAGAAACGCTGCTTTCTCTTGGAAATAATCGGTTTTCATCACCGGAGTCTCGAAACCGTTTTGAATCGGATCAATCCCATTCGATTTCGAGTTCAAACTCTTCGTAAGAGCCGAAGAGGAGTGTGATTTCTTCACACAAAAATCCCCAAATTGAGGTTTGAAATGAATGAAGAAGCTAGGGTTTTGATTCCCAACCAAATTGAACTCAGCACTCATGGTAAACGGACTAGATACCGGAGACCCAAAATGCCCAATCCCAGTTTTGAACACAAAACTAAACGGATTGAACGAATCATTCGGCCGATAAGCAACTTTGAACGAAGGCCCAGAATCGAACAGAGTTCCTAGACTCAGCGATAACTCCTTCGATTCGCCGGCAACGATTCCTGATTGGAACGGAAAGTTCAACACGCTCAGAGGAACTTTAGCTCTGATTAATGGTTTTTGTTCATCGCGAAACTTGATTGAAGCTTTCATGTTTGTTTCTGTTTGAGGAAAACCCAATTTAGTAAAAGGGATTAAGAACAAAACCCAATTCTCCGATTTGGATTTGGATGAGTAATGAAAAGAGAAAGTGAGGGTTTATATAGCTGGATCTTGAAGAAAAAGAGGGTTTAAGGGTTGCAATGGAGCGGAGATTCAGCTGAACTGAGCTGGCAGTGGTGAATGGGGTTTTTGGATTATTTGGGGAGTCTAATGACTAAATTACCCCTAATCATATCATCATTAAATAGTAGTAATTAATTAAGGAAAAATATAAAATTGGAAATAAATTCATACCATATAGTATGGTATTATATTAATTCAATCTATACATTTAAATAATTACCTATTATTCCACTATTTATTAATTATCTACCAAATTTGGAGTAAGATATATATCTCAATATATCTGTCCTTAAAAAAAACATAAAATGAAGTTTTACCCACTTAATTATTTCTTTGAAATAGAGTTCTAAGTTATCTCACCCTTAAGGTGGATTTTAAAAAGAACACTACAATCATGAGACAAGTTATAAGTTATCTTATGATTCTATTCCAATCAAATATGAATTAAAATCATCCTAAAATTAATCTCAAAATTAATCATCCCTTATCTCTTATAGTAAATGAGTCCTTAAAGTTCTAAATCCACTTTTCAATTTGGGTTTATTGTCAACTTGGAACTTTATTGTATGAACTAACTGTCATGTTTAAACAAAAGGACAAAAAATGTTGTTGATGGCTTTTTAGGAATTTAACAAATATATGATGATTTGGATTGATATAAGTAGGATGGGGGAAATGCCATGTTTTATATTTTTGAAATTCAAATTTTGTATTTGTTGCGAGTTGCAACTAAGGAAATTTGTGGCCACCTATCTGTAACTGATTGAAATTCAAATTTTAAATTATTCCAATCATTTATATTTTGACTTCTTATAAGTTTTTTAATTAATTTATTAGTACTGAAGTTATGTTTGAAAACAAATTTCTAGAATTTCAGATTCGATTTGAAGTTCACACTTAAATTTTTGAAATATCTTTGTCATTTAAATTGCATTTTCATTTTGTGATTATTGTAAATTCACACGAGAGATTAAGCCTGTTTATTAAAAAATTATACAATGTAAATAAGGAGGCAAAAGTGTATGTGTTTGCATGTATATTCAACTATCCTGACATGATTTTTAATTTTAATTTTAATTTTATTGAACTTATTACTCTGCCATTATAAATTAAAGTAAGAATATGCATAAATTAACTATTATAATTGGGACAAAGTGTATGATAATAGATGTGTTATGTATTTACTAGATTGGTGTGAAGATATCAATAGGCTAACACATACACAAACTCTTTATTTTTTCTTTTAATTTTATTTTAGCATTGCAACTCAACCTTGTTTCATTTTAAGCCTCCAATTCCATTTCTCATATACCATTTAAACACAATATACAAGCAAACATTAAATATGAGTTGAGCATTAAGTTTTTACACGAATTGCCCCTATTTCAGAATAGTCTTCAATTTTTGTTCATATTGCTCATGTAATAAAAATATGTGGGCCAATATGCCCTTATATATGATCGAATTTTGCTCAGTATAGGTTGAGAAAACTTTTGCCTCGTTCTGTAATAGTAAGAATCAAATTATTTGACATAAATTATGTAGTATCCAATTCACTCGACATAAGTTATGCCTCTTACGACATAACTCGTGGAATCTAAAATTAAACCTCACTAAACATCAATTATATAGAAATTAAGTTATGTCTTCTACGTTAGTTGATCTTAAATTGAACTTTATCTCAATTGACATAAACATTTGTGCAAATTATCCAAAATAATATATTTACCTAACTTCCTAAAATAGCCACAAAATCTAATTGAACTTGTACTTCATAATGGGCCTTTTACTTATTATGGGCTATTAACCAACAAATAAGCCCAAAAAGGAAAAAAAGCCCTAAAAGAGTAAAGTCCAATAACTCACGTGCTACGTATACTCTCACATCACAGCACGTGACTTTCCCTTATTTAAGATTTCGCTCAAAAAAAAAATTCAGAAAATCCCGCGCGGATTCCAAATTCCCACTCTTAACTAAATTTAAATCCGAATATTCAAATCCGGAAAAACTAATATACGCTCACTCCGCCCCCCATTTCTTCACCAAAAAAAAAACCCTAGTTCTACTGTTTGGGTTACCGGTTTTGGCCCGGCGATTTTGCTTCTAGTTCTTGATTTTTTGTTGTTTAAAGTAAATTTTTGTTAGTGATTTTGGTGTAGTTGATCTGTGAGGTAAATTTGAAGCTATGGATTTCAGAAAAAGGACTAGAAATGATGTTGGTGCTAATGTTAATGGCGGTGTGAAGAAATATAAGCCAGGTGAAAATTACGCTGTTTATATATGGTCATAATTGTTTTTTATTTATGTATGTATAGTAGATGTTGATTCGTTGTGTGTTTAGTTTGTTATATTTTGAGACAATGGGTGAAAATCCTTACTCTGCCCCTTTGTGTCTATGTTTAGTTCTTCGGTGATGTTTTTTGTGTTAGTTTTAGGGTGGTTTATTTGCTATGTTATGTTCGGAGTGTGGATTATGGAGTGTTCGTTTGAATTTCTATTGGTATTAAGAAGTTAGTAGATTTCATAGTATTTATGTGGTTTAGAACCCTAAGTTCTCAGGTTCGAAACTCAGTGGAGACGAAAAATATATTAGGTGTTTTTTCATATTTGAGTCTTGGTGGACAGAGTTACATGATATCTGGTGCTGGTGTGAGGTGATAGGTATCTTGTGGAATTAGTTGAGGTGGACGAAAGCTGGACTAGACACCATGATTAACGAAAAAAATAAATAGGATTTACTCTATAGGGAAAAAGAGAAATCGAATTCTTGTTTTATGAGGTGAAATTCTTCTAGCTTTTTGAATATATAAGAGAGGATGAGTAGAATGTATTAGAGCACTTCCTGTCCACTTCTGTGTACTCAGAAAGAAGCAGAGCGGATTTTGAAGTTTATCTCATTTGTGCCAAAGGAACTGATCAATGAATGTTCTGTTATGGAATAAGAGGTTTAAGCATTGTAGTATCATGTGCATAGGAGTTGTGTAGATGGACCAATGAGGATGTATGAGAGATTGGCTGAGGTTGGCCTAAGGAGAGAGAAAAGTAGGCTTAAGGAGTTTTGGGGAGAGTTGATTTGGTATGGCATAATGCACCTTGAGTTTATTGAGGGTATTACACATGGCATGAGGGTGTGGAGGTGGAGTATGTCATGGTAGACTGTTAGTAGGCTGCCAAGTGCTCTCCCCCCCCCCAAAAGTATTAGTTTCATTTTTACGTTTTTTATTCGTAAATTTATAGTATTACTTGTTTGTTTCTTCCATTTCGCTTAGCTTATTATCTTGCTGTTGTTACTTGTTACTGTGCAATAAGGTTTGTGTACACTCTACGATCCCCATGCTCCGCCTGCTGGGATTATATTTAGTATGTTGTTGTATCCTTGCCTTTTGGAGTCCAATGACATATTTATGTCTCCTACATAGTGGTGATGGAGCATGTAAACATCGTTTCAGCTGAACCCAACAAATCTTAAATATGTGCAGAATCATCAACAAAATTACACACTTGGATGTTTCTGCCATTTATGTTATGGGTTCAAATGTAAAAGTGTTAGCATTGACCCCATCAAATTTAGAATTTGGATGTGTTTATGCACATCTTACTTATGATGGAAACATTAATATACTGATTTTCTTGATGCAATATAGTTACCATTTTTTCTCTGAAGATGGACTTGAGAAGATTTGGTGAACCTCTTATAAATAGTTACATACTTCCTGGAGTTTCTACTTCTACCATATTAAGTTGTTTGTGCTGGAAATAAGAAATATGATATCTGTCTAATTTTCATCTAGAATAAATGTAAACAGAAAGATTTCTAACTGGTATAAATAATTAATTCGGTTCAACAGAAATGGACTCAATATCAGGTGGTGTAGGCAGCAAATCAAAGCCATGCACGAAGTTCTTCAGGTTCAAATCCTTGTCTACTTAATGAACTTTAATTTAGTATGGAATTTAAGTTATGTCAAGTGCAACATTTACAATTGCTAATATTTTTGTTGTGACACAAGCTGAATAAATGTAGATTTATGCTGGTCAGCCTGTGAGGCTGTTAAATGGTTAAAATGCTGTTGATGTTTAATGATTATGCAAATGTTTGTTAACAATTTTTGTGTAGATTAATATTTCCAGCTACAATGCACTTTGGAGAAATAAAAAATGATTTCTAATATACCAACAATCTTCTTAAATCTCTACCTAATTTGTACTGTAATAGCCTGTGCCTTACAGTTATACATTTGAAAACAGGTATGTGACCCACTTTCTTTTAATTAGATGGACTATGTCTATAATGATACTAAAAGTTATCTCTTATGGTCTAGTAGGGATACTTGTTAACATTTAATGACTGTCACCCATGATATTCTTCTGATACTCAGTCTGGTAGTGAAGTTAATCTTGATAACCAGTTTAGTGGGTCTTCTAGTAAGTGAATTATTGGTAAAGCTTTTAAGACGCAAAATAATACTCAGTGGCACCTGTGAGGTCCAATTCTGCTTCTTTTGTTTGATGTGCTTCTTCAGTGTACCCTGTTTTCTTTTGTAGTTCTGGGAATAACTTTCTTCATGAGATTTTGCCGTCACTTTGGTGCTCATGAATATAAGGATTTATATGATACTGTCTTTTCACTTGTTTAAAAAATTATTAGGTTTTACTTCTTGGTTGCTTAGTTGTTTAGTTTTCAAGCAAAAATTATTTAAATGATTAATGGAAGTTCTTGTCAAGTTTGGCACTTTAACCAGGATGCAATTATTGTGTCTGAAGGACAGTTCCTTTTATGGATGCTGTGCCGGTGAATTGTTTCTTGATTTATGTGTTCTGAACAATGTCCTTTCTCTTTTGCATTTTTAGCTGTTAGTATATCTTCTGGTTCTTTTATGCATAATACAGACATTTATTCTGATGAATATTTCTCGTCCCCATTGTGCTGAATGGGCAAAAAGATGGGATTTTGTTGGACAGAAATGCTGGTCTTTCTTTTGATGATAATGATCTCATTTATTCTTAATTGTTCTGTGTTGGTAAGAATACAACAACATACTCAATGTTTTCCTGCAAGTGGATATCTTATTTTGTTTAGTGCATAGTGTGGAGCAAAGTGAAGAGGTTCTCTTCCTGTTCCTGAAAGTTGGAACCTAGGACTCTGGACTCTAAACACCTACTTTTCGTATCTGTCTTGCTTGTATATATTGTTTTCCCAGAATCATAATTGTTAGACCTGTTCACCCAAGTTCGATTGCTGTGCAATGCATTTTTGCGTTGTGTTTGGGAAAGTATTGCAAATGAAATATCATAATCCAATTGTCTGGAACTTTTATCTGGTTTCATCTGCTGTGCCTGCATTGCCCATTCTGTCTAATTGTGATGGGAAATTTGGTTTTGGAATGGTTTGAAGTTTATTTTTTTTATTTTTTGGGTTGCAGCACCGCTGGATGCCCCTTTGGTGAGAGCTGCCATTTCCTTCATTACGTCCCTGGTGGCTATAGTGCAGTGACCCAGATGATGAAATTGACACCAGCTCCATCTTTGAGAAATGCTGCAGCTCCCCCTAATTCCAATGGAAATGCTCCTTCTATGAAAACCAAACTTTGCAACAAATTCAACACGGTGGAGGGATGCAAGTTTGGAGACAAATGCAATTATGCTCATGGGGAGTGGGAAATTGGAAAGCATACCATTCCTTCACAAGAGGATCCACGTGCCATGGGGTTTGGATCTATGCCAGGTCGTTTTGGTGGTGGGCGGGGGGAACCTGCTATCTCAGGACCTGCTGCTAGCTTTGGTACATCAGCCACTGCAAAGATCAGTGTGGATGCTTCCCTGGCTGGAGCCATCATTGGGAAGGGTGGAGTGAATTCTAAACAGATTTGTAGGCAGACAGGAGCCAAGCTGGCAATCCGTGATCATGAAGCAGATGCAAATCTCCGAAACATAGAGTTAGAGGGCACGTTTGAACAAATTTCCCAGGCCAGTGCCATGGTAAGGGAGTTGATCAACAGCCTTGGTCCTGTAGGTGGCCCTGGAAGAACACATGGAAATTCTGGTGGCCCGGCTCCTCCAATGAACAACCTCAAGACAAAGTTGTGTGAGAATTTTGCTAAAGGGTCTTGCACATTTGGAGACAGGTGCCACTTTGCTCATGGTGCTGCTGAATTGCGGAAAACAGGAGAGTGACTGTAATAGTTCACTTCACTTTTTGTAGTACCTAGCTCTTTAGAACGCCCAGTTGTGTGTCACATTGTATGATTCTTCTTAATTTTGGGCTCAGGTTATGAAATGCAACTTCGTTTGAGGAATTGAGCTTTATTTTAGTATTCAGGCAGGGTTTTTGACATTTTATAAAATCAGAAATTGTAGTTGCAGTAATGAATGTTTGTGTTAGAAGTTTATTTTCTCTGATTTCCTTTGATCCATTTGATATCTTTTTTGAGCTCTGAGCCTGTACCTGTTTGAATATGTTAACTCCAATTAAGAAAGGGAAAGAATTGGTGTATATGCATGTAATGAGGTGCCTCTTAATTTTGAATTTTCTAGGAGACTCTGCAAATGCAAGAAGAAAATAGATTTCTAATGGCTATTGGGCTTTCTATGTGGACCATGTTGTCATCTTTACAAAACTTTCCAAATGCCAAGTTCTGAACCCCATAGTAGGGGTGTACAAAATCGAACCGAGAACCGAACCAAACTGCAAACCGAGTTAACCCGAAAAAAACCTGACTATATTGGGTTGGTTTGGTTTTAACTAAAAAAACCAATCCGAGACCAAACCAATCCGAATTTATATATATAATTTTAAAATTTTATTTATACATAAAAATATTTACTTTGATATAATTTTTAAATATTTCTTATACTTTTCCATAGTTTTTATCTTTTAATATATTATTTCAAGTTTGAAACTTAGAATTATGAATGAGCCAATAAAAATTATAGTCCACATATGTTGGTAATTATAATAAAGCTTAAATCAAAATCAAATTAATACTAATGCAAAAAGAAAATCAATTCAACACTAAGAATGACAATAATATTGAATATTTGTTCTTTAGTTTTACATTGGTTTAGACAATTAAAATACATAATCTAATTTTAATTTTCTTTAATATTTAGTCATGTAACTAATACTTATTAAACTTAATTTTAGCATGATTTAGTACTTTTAAATTATGATCATTTTCATTCTGACTTGTTAATTTGCAATATTTGTTTTACGCGATTTCATTATTATTATTTTTGTTGGATATTTTAGTGTCATTAATCATATCATATTGTGTTATATTTTTAAGAAACATCTTAGATAGTTGTATTTTGGTAGGACTAAAGAAATATTTGAAGTACAAGTAAATTATATGTTGTGTATGAATACTTTACCGGAAAAACCCGAAAAAACCCGAGGTTGAAAAACCCGAGTTTTATTGGTTTGGTTTGGTTCATAAATTTAAAAATCCGACACAAATGATTTGGTTTGATATTTGAAAAACCCGAACCAACCCGGCCATGTACACCCCTACCCCATAGTCTTGCTATCAAAATAATTTTCAGGCTAACAAACATAAATTATTCCTGAGGAGTTTGTAAGTTTTAACTTTGATTCTTTATTAAACTTTCACTCAACCTTCAATTAAATGGAATGTCCATTTTAAGTCCCTTACATAGAAAAAAATGTCAAGATTTGACAAAGGGTAGAATGTTGTCATAACTCTAGGTAGAGATGTTTTTGATAGATCGTGACCGAAAGAAAAACACATGAATGCAAATTAAAAAATAAACAATGCATGTAAAGAAATCATGACAAAATACTATAGAAAACAATCTGAAAAAAAGAAAGAAACAATATTGAATTACAATAAAATAGTGTTATAATCAAAATACAAGAAATAGTATTAATATAAATCGAAGTAGAAGAAGCTATAGAGAAAAATACTATTACTACCACTACAAAAAAATAATTAAACAAGACAATATTCTACTACCTATTAATCATTTATTCTAATTCGTATCCAATAAAACCAAGTTTGCACGTTAAAGTGGGAGAAAAAAAGCGTGAATAATAATATTCCAGGTAAGCAGCAATCGTGCTACCCAACGGCCGGTCATGAATGACACGTCACAAAAAATGGTCCCCACATTTAAAAACATTTACTCCCTCCGTCCTATATGACACTTTTCAAATTTCAAAATTCAAATAAGTCTATCTTTGACAGTTAATTTTTCAGAGATCTTTTAAATATTTTGAATTATCAATTATTGTAACGTATAATATTTTTTACGTAGTTTACAAATATATAGATTTCATTTCAAAAAATTTGAAGATTCCATATGCAAATTCCCCATCAAATTTAAACTGTTTTACTCTCGAAAAACTAAAAAGTGTCACATAAATTGGAAAGCTCCCGCTTGGGGAACCCTATCTGATTTGCCACGTGGAGTCTTACAAATGAACATGCGTGTGGGCCGGCACACGAGCCTCGCGTTTTCCTAATGGATCCAATATGACGTTACCCAAGATTTTCATGGGCCTTAATATGGGCCCAATACAAAGATACCCTTGTATATTGCACGTGCAGATCCAACCGTTAATTATCTTTTTTCCTTCTTTTTTTTTTCAATTACGGAATTTCAATTTTATGGATTCTGAATTTTATAATAACTATTACAAGTTATAATAATATAATCGAGTTAATATTTATATATATTTAATGAATTTCATTAGCACAAATATATTATTTGAAAAAAATTTACTAGGTTCATCTGATCATACATACAACTACTGAAAGTGGTGAGTGAAGTAAACTCGATCAAAGAAGCATGCAGGGTTAAATAACTTTAGAAGAAGTCTCTCATAAAGACAACATAGATTTTGTTTATTTCACTTTTATAATACCCTATTTCTAGTCAAAGTAACTTTCATGGGTCGTGCTGTGGGAGACTGGGAGTGCTTCACCTTTAATCATAGGTCTCGGGTTCGAACCTTGGATATGAAGAAAATCCTGTTGGGAGAGCCACCCCCGAATGGGCCCTGCAGTGCACGATCCGGATTAGTCGGCTCCAACATAAACTTCGGACACCGAATGGGAAACCAAAAATAAAAAAACTTTCATTTTGATAGCAATGTCTAAAAAATACTGTAATTTTGATAAATATTATTTCATCTTTCCAATAATAAATCCAAACTTCATATAAAGTTCATTTCTTAACTTTTCAAAAGAAACAATTTATCCACGAAGGATTTGACTGTTTCCAATTAAGTACGTACATAACTCCCCTTCGTTTCAATTTGTGTAACATTGTTTAATTGAATAATTGAGGCAACGCTACCATATTAAATATGTCTCTGTGTAACCTATAAATCACGTGTTGAAATTTGTTAGTAAGGGTGAATTGAGAAATTTTCAATTTTTTAAAAGTTTCATACTATTCTTTTTTAAACAGATGAATAAAAAAAATACTGATGCATAATTTATAATAGGAGGAATATAAAATTAGTAAGTAATTAAAAAGCAAGATATATATTAAATAATTGGAGATTATGATAGTTACGTTAGGATTATTATGATATTAGTTAATTAGTGATTATTAATTTCCAACAATGCAACCGGCACTATGGAATTGATCACAAACAGGCAAACAGAAAAAAATATTAACTAATTGATTTATTTTTTATTTTTAAAATGGTGAGTTGTAATAATAAGTATTATAACCTATAGTGAAGCTCAGATTATAATAATACTTATTAATATTACAACTCACCATTTTTAAGTTATTGTAATTTTAAGGTCTTGTTAGATTTTTTTTTTTTTTCATTTTTGAGACTTAAAGCAAATACTCTACCTCTGTTTTAGTTTGTTTGTCTTACTTTTTTTAGTCAGTTTAAAGATGATGCCATTTTCTAACTTTAAAGGATACTTTGATATATTATTCTATATATCTTTAGTTTAAGATAAAGAGATTCAAAAGTTTTGTTTACTTTATTATAAATCTTCGTGTCAATTCAAAGTTAAACAAACAGATCATAGGGAGTAATAATTTTAAATTTGCACTTTGGAATATTTGTTTTAGGTTATTGGAAACACGTTGAGCAATCAGCAGTGGTGATATATTTTAATTAGTATCTTGGGTTTAAATTATTTTATATGAAAAAAAAATAGACATATATTGTTGTACTAAGATATTTGGAGATTATGTCTGAATCTGAGAAATTGGATATGTACTTACAAAAAGGGCCACTCTAATTAATGCAGGCCATGACCACTTTTATAATTTTCTTGTTACAAAATTATGAGAATATTCATGTTATTTAGTGATTGGAATTACCTATTTATACATTTTCTATAATATAATATATACATGTTACCAATAATATATAGCTATTATTTTATACTTCCATTCCAAATATACCCTTCTTAATTCTTGGTGTTTGTGGGGGGTTAGTCATGGTCACTATTTTGTTATTACCGCTATAGATTATTACTCCCCCTAGATTGTTCAGACCAGGTCGATTTAATAATGATGTACATAATTAGGGTTTTCTAATGCTTTTTCAAGAGTTTTTTATTTTTTATTTTTAAATTCTCTCCAAACAAGCAAGGTGATGGACATCATCATTTCTTTCAGTAATAAACTACGTTGTGATATTAGCCTTCAATATTTTTTCATTGATTTTCGAACCTCCAACAGAGAGGCGTTGTTGATGTGGCTTTTGATGAAAAAGTCACAAATTCTGATAGTTTAATAGACGTCTGTTGGTATTCTAGCCTTTAAGGTGACATTATTCAAGTGTGCTTAAAGGGTTAGTATACTTAAGTGGCTTACATAATCTTATCTATTAAGAAATAAGTATTTGAGAGTTGTTAATTTTTAAATGTTACAACTAATTAAGATTATCCAATCAATTAATCTAATTATGTTAAACTTTGTGATATGGATAAGCATTAATGCTTCTATCTGTTTGTATAAAAACTACTGAAAAAGATAAACCAAAGTTTAAACACCTAATCTTAACTGCTTTTTTATATTATGATAAAAAAGTCAATTTCCCCAAATTTGGGAGAAAAACAAATTGTTTTTTAATACTACATGCATGTGCCAACTACCAATTAGTGGTGGAAGCCATTTCTTGATATTTCAACAAGTTAGCCACTATGTTTTTTATACTAATCATAGAAAAAATCACATTAATTAATTATATACATCATATGACAATTATATGATTTTAATAAATGAATAGGGTCATTCTTGTAATTCTAAGTAATGATTTCTCCTTGATAGACATATTGTTTTTACATATAATATATGATCATGGGATTGGGAACCACCAAAGGTTGTGGTTATGAAATTAAGTGGTATGCATTTTTTCATCCTAAATTATAGATGTCATGTTCGAGTTATGAATATGAAGTCACTGTTACTGGAAAATGTTTTACTCCAAAGTGGATTTTTTCGATGTGAATTTAAATTAATTGCCCTCAAGCGCATTTTTTCCAATGTGAATCTAAATTAGTCTCCCTAAAGCAGATTTTTTCGATGTGAATCCAAATTAGTCTTCTTAAAGCAGGTACTAGACATCGATAAAAAAAATCAAAAAAATATGATTGTCATAAAATGATAAATACTCTTTCACTCTTAACCAAATGTTTCATGTTTAATCGTCTTTCATAAAGAGCATTTACCTCCATCACGAATTCAAATTCATCAACCCTAAAGCGAAATACCGAACATCGAATAGAAAAACAAACCAAAAGAAATCATTGGGGGACCATTTAGTTCAATTATTTATTGACTCTCTCCCCCTTTGTACTATGTCAGAAAAGGATTCATCCAATCCTTGCCTCAAACGTACATCTTGTTTTTCTTCTTAAATTTTCTCCACTGTCCAACAAATTTAACATAAAAAAAATAATTAAAAAAATCCTCTATTTTTTAAAAATTAATTCCCCTATATATATATAACCTTATTATAACTTCCTTCCATCTCAGTCATATTCTATATATCATTTTCTCCACAAAAATTCCACTAAACATGATGTACAACATAACACAAAAACAAAACCAAATTGCAAGAACAAGTCCATCAACACCTCTAAATATGTTGAACAAAAATTCACAAAATATATCCAAATTGAAGCCAAAAATTCGAATAATTCATATATTTGCACCTGAGATTATCAAAACAGACGTAGCGAATTTTCGAGAACTTGTTCAAAGACTCACAGGGAAGCCATCAGAGATCAAGAAAAGATCAAGAATTAGTAGTTGTACTAAAAAATTAGTTCCAAATAAGTTGGAACTAATTAAGGGTGGATATAATTGTAATTATCCATCAGAATTAATCATGAGAGAAAAGATTAAAGGTGAAGAACAAGAAGATATATGGAGAAGTGCTAATTATGGTGGAGGATTTTTGGGTGGATTTCAAGAATTTGATGGTTTTATGCAAGATTTTAATCAAATTCCATTACTCCCTTTGGATGCTAATAATACTACTAATCATCATTTGGATGGTTATGGAGAATCTCCACTAGCTATTCAGATAAGTGATACGTGAATTGCTCAGAAAAAAAATGATTTGATAGACGGATTGAGATGATTCGATTTTCTAGACCTATATTTAGCTTGAGAGAGGAATTTAATTTGATTTATTGATGTTAGAGGCTAATGAGTAGTATTAATTTGTTTAATTTTTTCTAATTTTTGGTTGTTGTTGTTTCATTGTTTCTTTTAGAGTTTAACTTAATTAATTAGTCTTATTGGTTAATCCAATTCTTGATCATTATTCCCAATCTTCTTTTCTGGATAATTAAATCATGTTGAAGTAGCTTCAATTATGTTAAGATTAAGAGCATTGTTGTATTAGTATATATATACTCACTACATTTCAGTTTATGTAACGTATTTTTTTAGCTTATTTGAAAAAAAAATTGATATACGTTTAAATTTAGAAACGATTAATTTTATACTTCTCATTTTATTCTTAATAAAAAACTTTTATAGGTCGAGAGTCTATCGAAAACAATCTCTCTACTTGTGTCTTCATAAGGTAGGGGTAATACTCCGTACCTCTTGTTGTTTTTGTTCCATTTGGATACATTTTATTACTTAATCACTAGTTTGTTTTGTTTCTTCCATGTGGACCTTTCTTGAAGTATATATAACATAATATAATATAAAATAAATTCTCATCTTACATTAACAAGTATCTGCAATTTGGCAAACCATCAAAATGAACATTAGAAAATGATATTACTTCTATTATAAGTTTCACACATTTCTTTTCTTATATAATACTTGATTCGGTTTATTTTATGACTGTTAATTTAACTGAACATAAAATTTAAGAACGTAAAAAATATATTTTTTTTAATCTAATCGTCTTAGATTATGATTGTTTGGATTCTGATAGCTCTATCATAATTAAGTTTCACTTAGTGATAAATAATGATTAATATTTAATACTCACAATGCAAACGGCAAATAGAATTTCATCGCATACCTTAAATGCAAACTGATAAACAAATAAAAACAAAAACAAAAAAAAGAATCAATTGAGTTTTACTTTTTCTTTGTTTATTTATGACTGATGAAAGCTGAGATTATGTTACGTAATTGAAATTCTTATGTCTTGTTAGTAGTTTTCATTTTTTTTTTTCTTACAAAATAGGTACGTATGTTATTTGTAAAAACGACAACTCAGTACACTAAGCTTCTGCTATTTTTGAAATTCGAGTAAAGACTGAACTACAAGGACTTGTTAATACGTGAGTTTCTATAAGAGGTTGTTTTCAAAGTTTGAATCTGTGACCTTCCGATTCATGAGAATTTTATTTGTTTTATTGCAAGTTGGAATATTAATATTTACGTTATTGATACCACAGTCTTACAAGAAATTTACTTATGGGGTGTTGTTTGATTTTAAACCTTGTTTTAGTTTATATTATCCAAACAATGAAGTGTTAAGTTGGGTTTAATGATCAAGTTGGCAACTATGATGTATACTAATTCAATGAACAATAAAAATTAATTTCGTTATTAATGAATATCATTTAGTAGAAATAAATGGCATAGCCATTCTTGTAATTGTAAATGAGGATCACACGGTCAAACGTCTCTATAACAATTCTTCACTATAACAAGTTAACAACCAAGCTTTTCTCAGAATCGACTTTTTTATGTTATATTTTATCTCTCTATAACAACAACCATCTTTGCAACATCGCGTTCAATGCTCATCATTTTGACATTCAATCTATACAATACTTAGTGAAAAAGATGTAATAACAACATTATGTAGATGTTAAATACAGCAGCTGAGGGTGATGAGAGAAATGACCGGGTTTTTCGGAGAAAGTTGAGCTCCTCAGCTCTCATAATCCGATAATGGTTCTGGATCAGGGACCGGATCCAACCTTGTTAGGACCTCGGGTTCTCCAGCAGTGTTCCTTACTATCTGTTTTCAAACATGAAACAACCAACAACACCAGAACTTTTCGGTTCAATGCATTAGCATAAGAATTGGCATATCATTTGGGTATACTCGACATATCTTTAGTTTAAGAGCACAAGATTCAAAAGCCTTGTTTACTTTCTTAAACTTCGTGTCTAGTCAAAAGCAGATAGACAAAATGAAACGGAGGGACGAGGGAGTATTAATTTTGCAAGACCAATGATTGTGGCTCTGTTTTGGCATTTATAAAAGGATTGCTGCATTTTCCACTAATAGAACTAACAAAAAAGGACTTACCAGTATCTCTTCATCAAGGTAGGAAATTATAATGAGTCTTTGAAACGCCTCGCCTGTAGAAAGTAGTACTAACTATTAGATATGACTAGAATAGCAGCATAAATATAAATTTAGGAAAGTTAAGGGCGTCAAATTCGATTGGAAATGCAACTAGCTGAAAGGGAATGATCAACCAGGAAGAGAAATCTGATTTGAACCAAGTATATTGGACGGATGCTGTTAACAGGTGAATGAAGAACTCAAAATTCGAGACGAAAATGGGACAGACTAAACGAGATGAAGTGGTAATGTTGAAAAGACAGAGGGTCAGACTTTGTCCTTAGTTGATAGCAAAGATTAAATCCGAAAGATATATTAAATGCTTACCAAGAGGAATTTTCAAGCCACGGGACACAGTGTCTCTGATGGGAACAGGAAGTTGTTGGAGAGTGTTAACAGCTTGATCCAAAGCACCCTTTAGTTGCTCAGGCACGGTATCCTCATCTACCTTTGGAGTTTCAAATATCCCTTCAACATATTCCTCTTTCATTCGAATAGGTCCCTCAACAGAAAACTTGCTGGACAGAACAAATTTATTTTCGATCTGCATTCCATCATCATTATATTTATTTCCTGCTAAAATACATGATTGGGATATATGCAATTATCTCTTCATGATGACTAGAACTAATAAAAATGTACGACACAGCGCCTTGAGGCCTTGACTCGATTGAGTCGAGCTCGATTAACTTGGTTAGACCAAACAGGGTTAGCTAATTCTTCCTAATTAGCCTGAGCAATAGCATTTAGGTTCACGGCCAGTGCGAATCAAAGTATACTCAACCCAACTCAAATTTGCTAAACTAGAGAAACTTATTTAGTAGTAAGTTAAAATGTTCATATGCCCAAGCAGTCAATGGTGTCGCATGGTCTGCGTTTTAGTGATGCAAAATAGTTAGGTGACTTCTTCCCATCTTCCTAATCCATCCTCAGTGAGCAGAGTTATCTGGTACTAGTGAAGTAATGTAAGTGCTCGACGGAATAGCTAACTTACGCGCAAAGAGACCTGATACCATATATTACAGCGGAATCGATTATGCTGCTTTCTGTTTCCTAACAGTAAGTCTACGAAACTATCGTCAAAAGTATCAAGCTTTATGCACAAGTATATTTTTTATCGTCCATCTCAGGGGGCTAGCAGTGAGCTTACAAAATAACATCCATCAAATGTCTGGTAATACTTCAATTGGTTTTTACTCTTTGACTTGTTCCATCATTTACTATTTGCTTGTTACTAAGCAATTCTCTTTGTTCCTAACTATCCTTTGTTTCTTGAATAATGTTAGATTACACGAAGCACCGACTATCTAAAAGTATAAACAAACTCTGTTGGCACTTTTTTCCTTCCACCTTCTAATTAGTAAAGACATTTTTTTTTGTTTCTACTTGGCTATAGTATATGTTCTGCATATGAAATATAATCACAAAGATGAATTACCGTGTTCAATAATTTCACATGCGCAATAGCAGTCCCATATCCATTTCTGATTAGCAGATCTAATTTTGATAAATTTGCCAATGTTGATGGAATTCTCCTGCAATAGCACAATATTCGAACATTAGCTGCTATTAGAATCAAACAGAACTTCCACTAGGAAGCTAAAGCTCCACTATAGCTAAATCCGCTATATCTAAGTATTTATCATTCCAGTACTTGATAATTCGTCTTTTGGGGCAAATTTGAGGTTCTAAAACTAGGAATTTTCTAAACCTCATGATATTCAACACAAGTGGATGTAATCCAACAAAAAGAAAAATAGATACTTGCCCAAATAAAAGCCTGGTAGCCAAGAACACCGGGCTTGAAGTTCCAAACCACTCAAAATTCCATAGACCTTCCAAAAAGGGAGACCTGGATAGCTGAAAATACAAGTAAATAACTAATCAAGAAGCTTGAACAATGAAATTGCTCAGTCAGATTTTAAACGCCTTACGTTGTGGGTCGTGGTGTTGGATTAAGCCTCTCAAGGGCAATGATCCTCTCGTTCACATCAACGCGCTGAACATCTGTTGTCCTCCCAGTGATCACTCCCTCAAAACCTCCAGCATCTTTCAACTATTGCAGAATGAACAACACACACAAGTGCTTAAAGGACTTAAAATTGATTTTATGTTCTACTTCCTTATGTCCCAATTTATTTGACATAGTTTAACTCAGCACAGAGTTTTGTACCAAATAATTTGTTTTTGTATAAACAAGAACCTAAATAGGAGTATAAAACTAAACTACTTTCTAAATGATTGAACACATCGACAGCCCATCAACTTGCTAATAAATTTCATTAAGATACTCGAATTATGACACTAAGATACTCCCTTCTCAAATTTTGAAAAAGTTTTTCTTTTCATATTCTCATGCACCCATTACCTACTTTCACTCAACAACCCATTGGTGGAGCCACCTTATGCTGAGTGGTGTCAAATCGCCAGAAAATCACACTGTTTAGCTAAGTCAATTTTTTTAATACTATATGTTGACTCCCCTTATTAGTTAAGTATGTCTACTTTTAATATACTGCAACAATTTTATTAAAAATTCTAGCTCTACAACTGAACAATCATCAAATTTTAACAGCATTTCTTCAGCTAAATAGGCTAAATATTGAAACTTTAAGAACCAAATTCATAATTTTAAGCTAGATGAAAGGAAAAAAAAAACCCAAAAAGGGAAATTGAGAAGGTACAGTAACTCACAGCGAGTAGCAGAGATTCTTTAGCTGAAAGTCTTTCAATTTCTTTAACAAAAGGAGAAGAAGCTCCTTCTGCCG